ATAGTGTTTACCTACTATACGAATACATACATTATACTTAATAGTTTATAGATATCCATTATTTATTATGCAATCTTATATATTTTAAAAAATATTTACTTTAAGATGTGATATAGTATTTTTACATTTATTTTATACTAAGCCATAACACATACATTTCGTTTGAAAAAATAGCATTAAAATCTTCATAGCTAAATTTATTCATGCAAAAGACCAGAACTTCTTTAAAAATGGCATTTATACATTAAAAGCTCGTTGAGAAAATGTGCATCGAAGCAAATGGATCATATTTCGATCAAATAGACATCTTTCAAGAAAATATATAAAGTTTTCAATATTCATTACCAACATTTATTCATTTTTTCGCGCTAACATTCGGGGTAATGCAATAGTTAAGTAGGCCTGATCCTGCTCAATAAACATATATGATTGAAATATATCTCAATGTTCATTCAGCATCATTCGCAAATATGTTGATAGATGCGGTCGAGAATCCAACTAGGCTACAAATACAAATCGAATATTGCGCCGCGTGTTTCAGAAGATACGCCATGCGCAAAGAAAAAGTGAGACCGCAAGCACCGGTACATTGTACCTAAACTAACTGCGCGGAGCTAGATGCGCAAAAACTTAGGGAGGAAAAAAGATCGTGCAAAAATATGGGTATATATTACTGTAGTTCACTAACTGACTGTTTTAGTTAAAATTTTAGGATGTGTGACACGAAAACCCATATGGTTGCTTGGTCTACTCTGATGCCTCGTCTGTGGTATCGTGTTGCAGTTGCAAGGGTGAATTTCCATTTCAGTTGGTGACCCTCGACCACTCGAGTTGGTCAACGTGGGGTGAACAATTAAGTTAAATGTCGGTGTTTTGTTTGAGGAAAACACGTATCAAACACGTCCTTTAGCAAAGTGAATATATAACAAGAATCACGTTATCAAAGAAAATTCGAAAATCATCGCCCTCTAGCGAAGAGTTTCAGAAGCACCGTGAGTCCATCTGCTCACAAACAAATCGAATGGTTCGCAATGAGATCTCGGTACAGAATGAGTTATTTAAACTCTGCATTTTTGTACACTAAATCACTAAACATCAATATAAAGTTGTTCGTTTAAGCACAATATACATACGCGATTCGTTCGTCCATAACTAAAAACGTCTCGTGGAAGTGGAAGCGTTCCAAGGATCAAGAAAGATGCTAACCCGACCAGACAGCCAAGATTTCTGTGGCAGAGGAGAAATTAAGTTTAGTGGGAATTGAAAAGTCTCGTGATTTAGCAATCGTTGCCGATCGGCTGTTTAAAGTGACAGACGCTCGCGCCACATGACCAGGAGAGGATCTCCTGTTCTACCGTGCTGCGTCATCGTAGAATGGGTGAGCGGCAAGTAGCGAGCTCGAAAAAGCTTCCAAATAAACCGTGGATTTTATGTATTTATGGAACATGCAATGTGCAGAATGCTAAAACGAAAATTTCATGTTTCTGCGCTTTTCATTTTAATATGTAGTCCTCTCGATGTACATAGAGCGTGTATTAATAAAAATTATAGCAATTATCAGCAGAAATATACAATAATCTGATCAATTCGAATTTGTATGAAGGTAATTCAGGATAATTTGTATTGTTAAAAATCATCGGTACATAATATCAATAATCACGTGTTTGAAGCTCGCGGGGCGTGTCTTAGTACGGAAACGCAACGATTTACGTACATACTGTCTTTTTCGTCTTTTGATCAACAATGATACAAACCAGACACGAACAAAAATTTTTACCTAATGATTGATGACAAATAGGAACGGTATACAGGGTGTGTTGATATTTGCAGTGGTGGAGTTATGTATCCCACACGTCCTCTCGTTTCTCGAGATTTGGTATTAAATACATTGATCAATCTCAATGAAAATAGAACTTTGGGTATTAAATACATTGATCAAAGTTCTATTTTCCTGAAATTTTCGTTTGCTCGTAGTATTTACAAATATTACAACACGAATTACAAAGAATACGAGAGAAGTATAATTTACTTGCACCGTAAAAAAGTTGTGAGATGTTTTTGACAAATTATTCTGCAGGACATAAACAAATAGAAAAGAGTAATTTCGTAATAGATTATATGAAATATGCGCAAGAATGCTATTAATGAATGTGTTGCAAAATTTTTGGACTATTACACATTATAAGTGTGATATCACATCAGTTATGATTAATTTACAATAATTTATCGATCTCAACGTGATCTCAAATTGTTCGAAGTATGTTTTGTTTCTTGCTACATTTGAGTTCACAATTCTCACGCCAAAATGGCGGAAATAAATATTAGACTTAACTCTCATTTTATTTCGACTGTTACATCTAATCAAACTAATCACTATATTTTTTAACTATGTATTCTGTTACGATTGATTTTCTTTAATCACTCTATATACTTCATATTTTTAGTATGAAGCTGATCGAGAGAATGCGAGTTGTATAATTAAATGATGTCCATGATTTGGACTGAAAATAGACAATCGAAGTTTCGTGAATCATTAATGTTCCTTACTTATATGTTGAGCGATTACTACATAATTTACAAGCGTTATTAATGAATTTAACATGGAACTCGACTTGGTCGTATAGCGTGAGCATGCTGTAGGATCAAAGTTGAATGGTATAGTAACCTATTTACTGTTAAGTAGCGTTTCACCCAGCCATGAACCCGGTGCACACGGTACACCGGGACCAGCGTCGCGTGCTAGGAATTTCGTATCCCCACTCCTGCTCCCGCCTCTATTACATTTAGTATTTTCTATTTTCCCTTCGGTGGTGTCGTGCGTTTCGTGCTTTCCTTCCACATATAGAAGCATCAAGTTTTCTTTGTCGTGCAAAAACTCGTCCTTGTGGCTCAATGCTCGTGCGATCCTTGACAGATAATGAGCATTCGACCGTGTTCTCAAACATATTATTGGCTCTCAATAACGCTCGCCGAGCGTAGAAACCGAGATTTCTTCTTCTCGACGTCCGAGTAGTTTTCACCGCGGAGAGTTTCATGAAGTAAGCGAGACACATCGTTGTGTTCTTCGAATGAGTGTTATCGTTCAGTGGAAATTCGCCGCCGACGCTTTTTACCGTTATCGTTCGGTGTTAATCGCATAAACTGATGCAGGAGGTGTTTTTCCTTTCGTGTGCTACGAACCGCTTGATAATGCTTCCGCGAGTGTCCTGATAATATTATTTGACCGGTGAATAATTTACATAACTTTTATGTAACGAAACCCTTTGACGTTCTCGCTGTCATGTGTCGCTAAATTATTAACGAACAGTGATGCATTATGATAATCTTGTATCTCGTGCTCCATGGTATTTATCTCTAATTATTTGTGTTCAAAGACATACAAGGAGGAATGTCCCGCAACACTGGACCTGGTTTGTACGAGTTCCTTATGGAAGCAGAGCTGCAACAGTATTATCCTGGAATTCGAGGTAATACATTTTGATTTGTTTTATTTGCTTTGGAAATCATTGTTTGCAATCTCTGTCTTTTTTATCTTAATAGGGGACTTGAAAGTACAAACAACCGCTCAATTAAAATATGTAACAGAAGAAGACTTAAACGCCATTGGAATGAGTAAACCAGAGATGCGTCGTTTAAAGAAATACTTTCAAAAACATTTTCCTCAAAATTACCTCTCCAAATTTAAAAAGATGCTCTTGCAGAAACGCGAGGAACAAACTTCAGGTGGTTTGACTATGTTACCAGAAGAAAGGCAAGACAGGCCCCCAATTCGTGTTCCTAATAAGCATATGATACCAGCTGATGCTATTATTGTAAATAAAGAACTAGGAACAGGAGAGTTTGGAGTTGTGCAGCAAGGTGTTTGGACAAATGATGGAGAAAGGATACAAGTAGCAATTAAATGTTTATCACGAGAAAGAATGCAAAATAATCCTATAGAATTTTTAAAAGAAGCAGCCATAATGCACGCAATTGATCATGAACATATTGTGAGACTATATGGTGTAGTTTTGGATACAAATTCATTGATGCTTGTGACAGAATTGGCACCTTTAAGATCGTTATTGGAATGTTTGAAGGAACCAAGTTTACGTCCTAGTTTTCCAGTCCTTTCTCTTTGTGACTTTGCAGTACAGATTGCAGATGGCATGCAATATTTAGAAGCAAAAAGATTAATACATCGTGATCTCGCTGCTAGAAATATTTTGGTCTTTTCCAAGAATAAGGTTAAAATATCTGATTTTGGATTGTCCAGAGCTTTGGGAGTTGGGAAGGACTATTACCAAACGAATTTCAATGTAAACTTAAAATTACCAATAGCTTGGTGTGCTCCAGAAAGTATATCTTTCTTAAAATTTACATCAGCAAGTGATGTATGGGCTTATGGAGTTACTTTGTGGGAAATGTTTAGTTATGGTTTTCAACCATGGGCAGCATTAACAGGTCATCAAATCCTAGAAGCAATAGATGAGCCAAACTTTCAAAGATTAGAGCAACCAGAGTGTTGTCCAAAAGAATATTTTTCACTGATGCAGCAATGTTGGCAACATGAACCAACAAAGCGCCCTAAATTTTCAGAATTAATTAATCTTTTGCCTGACTTGAAACCAGAACAAGTTCAAGCAGTTCAAGACAGTACAGAAACAGGTCAGCTCATTTATAGACAAGGAGATGTTATCACTGTATTAGATAAAGGAAGCAGCAACACATTATGGAAAGGTGTTTTAAATAATGGAAAAACTGGTTTCTTCAATCCTGCTCATACAATAGCTTACCTCGGATCTAATTTACCGAGTAATAAACCAGGAGAGTTTACGCGTGGCGATGGTAAAAACGCATTTTCTTCCCAACGACGAAAGATTCGAACAGACATGATATCTTCCCCGCAAGGCGATTTGAAGCACACTGGTCATGTTGGACTGGACGGAGCTTACTTTGGCGACATAGGCTTCCTTGGTGGTAAAAATCCACATTTACCTCGGCAGGTAGTATCTCCGTATAAACCCCAAGAGGACATCACAGATAATTCTAGTCAAATTGTTAACCAAGATGCAAGAAATGTAGAGGTAAACAGAGAACTGTTAAGGGATAACAGAAATATGCAGCAAGATATTCAAAATAAACATGGTATACATTTTATTTGACAATTATTTGTCAAGTAGCCAGTATAAATTGTTAATAACACTGTGTTCTTCAATAGAAAGTTTATGGTCGGATACAAGCTCCGAGATGTGCCATTTGGGGACAATAGCTAATTCCAGTAAGCAGTCTATTTCAATAAATATGACTAATAGCACAGACGTTTTGGGAGCAGACCACGAATATCATGAGATCAGCGATGAGGAAAATCAAGACAGTCCCCTTCGGTTTGACAAAACATTAAATTTTGATTTTGGCCCTAGTTTGTTGGCTGAAATGGATCAAATGTTCAGATCATTAGGTAAATTTGGTGAGACGTATGGTAAACAATAATTCAGGGGATAATTGAATGTGAATTTTCAAAGAGAATATCCTGTAAACTTATATTTACTTATAGGATCTTCACCTCCTCCACCACCTCCAGTTCATCCTTTGTCAACTGAACATGAATCGAGTAATGCGAGAAATGAACTGCGAGAAATTCAAGCCAAGCAATGCAACAAGAAGAAACAAGCCACCGTGAGTCCAATAAATGTACAGTAACTTTTTTTCTTATTTATAATTATGCTTTTATGTGTTATCGGTTGTAATTCATTTTTTATATATTATTTGCTGCTATGTACCATTTGTTTCTATGTATTATGTATATATATATATATACATATATATAATATATAAATAACATAATTATTAATTATTAATTTATTAACATATAAGATGCATATATATATATGTATACATATATGTACACATAAATATACATATATGTATTATGTGCATGGGAAAGCATAGAACCTAAAATTGTTAGTATTCAAGAAAAGAAAATTAGCAAGGGATAGATTCTCAGAAGAGTAGATGCAGTACGTTTTTGTACAATAAATGAATATGCAGCGATGAAGTTGCTAAAAGCAGAAATTTTTGTTTATATCGTCCGCTAGTCAGAGATGGTAAACGTTTCTCTTATATCTAGGTGAAGCCTATCTCAGCCGCCGATCAGAAAACTCTCTACTCAGCCATTGCTATGGCACAGGAATTGACAGCACGTTCCATGACAGATCTTGAACATCCACCGGAGTCTCCCCGAACACCCGCAAGTCCTTCAAGACGCAGAAAGTTCTCTTTTAAGTTGCCACATCAACACAGTCCCAAACCAGACAGACGACACTTTTCAGAAGAAGCAGCCAGTATACCTGACATACAGGTACATTAAACAGTTTTTGTTTAATCACTAAACTTTTGTTTAAAACACTAAAATATACGCAAACTAACATTATGAAAACACAATCTAACATTGCACTACAATATACTAGATCGGTTATTCCACACTGAATTAATGTTTTTTCGTTGTCGATGTTGGGAATATTTTAAAATGAAATTTGATGGAGTACAAATGAGATTGTAGTGGGCTTGAACTTTGCACTATCCATCTATTCTCATGAATTCATAAATTACATCATACTTATGAATTTAAAAAAATTTCAATCTGGGTCTATTGTCTGACCTATTATAATAATCTATTTTAATTGGAAAATTGATTTGCTTAATATTTTGAAATTTGCAAACAATTCTTTGCATATTCTGTATATTTTGGCAAATTTATTGTTTAGAAATTTTTATAAAGAAAGTGGACATTAGTAAAATGATGATTCAAACCCACCCTAATTTTGACTTCTACTACATCATATTTAATTTTGTATAAATTTGTGACATCAACAGCAAAAAGTAGTCAATTTGGCAAGGAATGATCTTAATTCAATTAATTTTTATTAAAACCAATAACTAATACATAAGGGCGAAAATATGAAAAAATATAAGAAGATAATTAAGTCTATTGGTTTACTATACAAATACATTCGAATTGGAAACAAATTTAAATTGATTTCATCGAAACTGTTATGGAACAGAGTTAATTCCTGATGCCACACTGAAGAGTAGGTATATCGCAATCTTTTGTCTGTTCTTAATAATCTGATCTAAGCTATTTGTTTGTACCTTAAGTTGATACAATGCTTATTAATTTACGAATAAGACTAATCTTGACTTTCCTCTAATCCTGTCCTGTCTATTTACGTTTTGTTTGTTTCTCAATTCTTAAATTTTTGTTACTTCATGTTTTGTTGATCATTGCATCGCCATGTTGAAAATATTTCTTTGTATTTGTATACGATTATATGTGATCATTAACTGGAATTTTGGGAAACTATTTTCTATGGTGCTTTATTCTTTTCAAATGCGACATTCCTTCATTGTGCATGATCTTGTTCAATCACGACTTGGTACTATTCAATCTCCTTGAACAAACTGCATGTCAACGGTTCGCCAATGTGGAACAATCAAGTGGTTGTGTTCAAGTTTGCAATCATTGTCATCCACTGTCTCCAGCATAGAGTCGCTTGGCGCACCATCCACCCTAAAACTACCTTTGTGGGATAAAGCGTCTGCTGAATTTTGTTTTGCTAAGTCCCGCGAACTTCTTACGAAGCCCAGCGCTTGGACATCGTACATGGACATAGAGCTTGACGCGCACATTATTGACAATGCTGCTCTAAAGCAGGATTTGGTGAAGTCGACAGAATTTCTGGAAAACGGTAACAAAAGGAGCAACTTCAATTGCGAAAATATTACGGATACAGAGGGAAAGTTAAACGTCTTCCCACAAAATGGAAAGCTATCCTCGACTGTAGATAAGTCCAATTTTGATTTCCCTCGAGATTCTAAAAGGGTGTCTACCAGTTACGTGGAACGATACTTTGAACAACCAAAGTATTTCGAGGATGATGGTACCCTTAGTTGTACTACCGAAAAAGTCTCATATTTTGGCGAGGAGAAGCTAGAGAAATATGACAAGATCAATAATTTAGAACAACCAGGCAGATCTGCTTGCTACTCGAACATCCAAGAACAAAGCTCTATGGTAGCGAACAAGCCTACTCTGCAGTTGCAGAATAAATTTAGTAACTGCGATCAGCCTGTCAAAGATAATGTGACAAATTTTGATACGAAGTACGATGAAACAAGTAGCTTTGATCTAGTGAAAGACACGTCTTCGAATTTTGTCGATTTTCCTCGCTCTAAGCCAATCAAGTTTGAGTCAACCAAGGTAGGTAATTTTGATATCGGAACGAGACCGAAGATTTCAAGTTCCTTTAACGACTCGTCGAAAATGAATATACCAGAATTCCCGAAGAAAATCGAGATACCGAAAGCAAGAGGTGGTAAAGTATCTTATGTCCCTCGAAGTACAAATCAAGACAACAAAACTGTTATCTACGGTTCGACAGACAGTATAAAGACTAACATAAAGGCTGGAGGAGGATCGGATAGTCCTAGGGGAAACATGGAGGCCGTGAGAATTAATATACAGAGTTTTCGTAAGATCGAGCAGAACCAGAATGGTCACGATGGCTATCCTTTTGTTATTTCTAACAATCCACTGTTTATTGCAGAATCTGAGAAAAAGGAATCTCCGCTTTATAGTAGTTCGGAGAGCTTAAGAGTGAATTTTCAAAGACTTAGAAGAAAAAGTGATGCAGAGGCAAACAGTCAGGTTGAACTGAGTAGCAAACTGCTGGCCGAGAAATATCAGCGTGAAGTATCTGGCTTGGAAAGTGTAAAAAGTTATCTGGATTCTAAAAAGGGTCAAGGACTGAATCTAGGGTTAGGTAAATTAACCCAAAATATGATTCAACTGGGTAAGAATATCGCCCAGAATACTAGGAATATAGAAACCACCCCTTCTAAGTCGTTGGTCACCAATATCAGAAACTTAGACCTTTTAGGACAAACTCAAACGCCACTTAGAAGCTTGAATATCCCTATTCAAAAGCCTAAACATTTGGATTTAAATATTCCTCTGCAGTGTCAGACACAGATCAACGCGAAGCTGAATGTAACGCAAAAGGTTAACCCTCCATCAAGTCCTACTATACACCAGCAAATTCTGGAGCCGCCTAAATTGTATCAGAATGACAACTCGAGGAAAGAAGTACCCAAGACTGACGTCTTGTTGGACAAACTGTCAACGCCAGTTAATATATACAGGCAGAGAACGTCATCCCTCTCTGAGAATAGGAAGCCACCTCTTAAAAATATACGAAGGTCATTTCATCCAACCAATGACTCCAGCGAAGACTCAGACTCTATATCTCATTCAGAAACCGATATACGAAGTCGTTTGCGTTACAAGCGACGTCACAAGAAGCTTCCACATAATCTGCGTTTGAATTTCAAGAACAAAGGTCACTTTCTGCATCCAGAAACGGCTCGAGGATTTTCGTCAATCGAACTTTGTGGAAAATCGCCTCCACCGTCGACCAGTTTCTTGAATTCACTCTCACCGCCTTTCTCCTCTGGAAACAATTTGCTTTCTTGGCCAGAAAGCGCTCCAAGTTCTAGTTTAACATTCACCAGTAACTCTGATCTGGATTCCGATACTAGTTCAGAGTATCCAGAGTTTACAAACGACATACTGACTTTCCCACCGTCTCCAGCTCCATAAACTTAAGATCTGGAACAGTAACGTGTTATTGTCAGGATGTCAAGTCTTTGACAGGAATACATATAGGATAGCACCAGAGTTGGGCAATATTTAATGAATTTTTTCAATAATTCTCACGAGCGTGGACGAATTTATTTTATCAGGTAATTTAGTTTGTTTATGGATGTCTAATTTTTGTTTAAAGGCTCCATTTGCAAAGAATTTGTTTTTTTTTTTAACCACATAGTATCCTTTTTGAAATAAAATAACCAGATTTTCTTACGCTGTAGAAAATAGTTGTTACTATAGTTAGCAGTCATAATATTTCTTAGAATCATGATATTGGTTCGTACGAATATTGCTCAACAGTGATATGTGGCTGGGACGATGAATAACAAAATTCTGAGAATCGTTTGAGGTCATAAATTATAACGATAATATGAAACAATACCCAACTCTGGACAATACTCAGTGTACTTAAACCAAAGAACTGTTCAGAGACAGTTCACCCTACATACGCTTAGCATGCTTGCATGTTACATTAATTATTAAATAACATCTAGCGATTAATATGTTTGGATGCATTTACACGTTTATACTATTTGTACTTGGAGGACATTAGAATGGGAACCGTGGAGTGTGTATCCGGACCTACATGGTGATACCTCTTTCATTTCCAAGCGTATACAGACTTTCTACCCCTGATGTGCTCGATATAATACACCATCCACTTCTGCATCCATTTCATTCAGAGTAGCCTACATCATTTTCAACTCATATTACTCATATCCTCATACACCTTTGCACTTCAGTACCGAGAGTGTGTGTGCCCAAGCATTGCCTCCACTCGTTTGTGGTGTTCCTTCCTATTAAAGAGGAGTGAAAAATCCATGTACACACAGACGTTTCTTTTTCATGCCATAGTCTCTCTCTCTCTCTCTCTCTCTCTCTCTCTCTCTCTCTCCTCGTTTGTTGTTTTATTTTTTAAATTTCTGTTCTCTTCTGTCCCGAATCTATCCCCTCCCACGACTTGTTTAGGCTACGTTGTCGGACGAGGCCAAGGAAGTCTACAACAGTCTAGTGGAGACGCCGAGCATAGACACCGCTTCGGATACGAATCCGTTGCGGATGCTGCGTTCCGGCGTGCCCATAGTGAGGCCGAGAATCCGTGGGAACAAGCACGCCACCTTAGCCCACACTGGTTCCCATCAGGAAGACCTGTCGAGAGACACCTTTCACTTCGACGCGTATCATAGCGGCTCGAAGACCTTGCCCAAGATCAGAGCACCGCCTTTGCCACACGCTCCACCGCNGTTTCTTGAATTCACTCTCACCGCCTTTCTCCTCTGGAAACAATTTGCTTTCTTGGCCAGAAAGCGCTCCAAGTTCTAGTTTAACATTCACCAGTAACTCTGATCTGGATTCCGATACTAGTTCAGAGTATCCAGAGTTTACAAACGACATACTGACTTTCCCACCGTCTCCAGCTCCATAAACTTAAGATCTGGAACAGTAACGTGTTATTGTCAGGATGTCAAGTCTTTGACAGGAATACATATAGGATAGCACCAGAGTTGGGCAATATTTAATGAATTTTTTCAATAATTCTCACGAGCGTGGACGAATTTATTTTATCAGGTAATTTAGTTTGTTTATGGATGTCTAATTTTTGTTTAAAGGCTCCATTTGCAAAGAATTTGTTTTTTTTTTTAACCACATAGTATCCTTTTTGAAATAAAATAACCAGATTTTCTTACGCTGTAGAAAATAGTTGTTACTATAGTTAGCAGTCATAATATTTCTTAGAATCATGATATTGGTTCGTACGAATATTGCTCAACAGTGATATGTGGCTGGGACGATGAATAACAAAATTCTGAGAATCGTTTGAGGTCATAAATTATAACGATAATATGAAACAATACCCAACTCTGGACAATACTCAGTGTACTTAAACCAAAGAACTGTTCAGAGACAGTTCACCCTACATACGCTTAGCATGCTTGCATGTTACATTAATTATTAAATAACATCTAGCGATTAATATGTTTGGATGCATTTACACGTTTATACTATTTGTACTTGGAGGACATTAGAATGGGAACCGTGGAGTGTGTATCCGGACCTACATGGTGATACCTCTTTCATTTCCAAGCGTATACAGACTTTCTACCCCTGATGTGCTCGATATAATACACCATCCACTTCTGCATCCATTTCATTCAGAGTAGCCTACATCATTTTCAACTCATATTACTCATATCCTCATACACCTTTGCACTTCAGTACCGAGAGTGTGTGTGCCCAAGCATTGCCTCCACTCGTTTGTGGTGTTCCTTCCTATTAAAGAGGAGTGAAAAATCCATGTACACACAGACGTTTCTTTTTCATGCCATAGTCTCTCTCTCTCTCTCTCTCTCTCTCTCTCTCTCTCTCTCCTCGTTTGTTGTTTTATTTTTTAAATTTCTGTTCTCTTCTGTCCCGAATCTATCCCCTCCCACGACTTGTTTAGGCTACGTTGTCGGACGAGGCCAAGGAAGTCTACAACAGTCTAGTGGAGACGCCGAGCATAGACACCGCTTCGGATACGAATCCGTTGCGGATGCTGCGTTCCGGCGTGCCCATAGTGAGGCCGAGAATCCGTGGGAACAAGCACGCCACCTTAGCCCACACTGGTTCCCATCAGGAAGACCTGTCGAGAGACACCTTTCACTTCGACGCGTATCATAGCGGCTCGAAGACCTTGCCCAAGATCAGAGCACCGCCTTTGCCACACGCTCCACCGCCGCTACCACAAACGCGTCATTTGGAGAGACACCATTCCGCCCTAGAGATTGAGAACAATCAGAATCAGAATAACGTGGATGAGAATCCTATACCGTTGCCACCCAGAGACAGATCGAAAACCTTGCAGCCCAAATCCAGTTTGCCCAGACACCAGAGGAAGCATCCTCTAATCATTCCTGGAGACGGAGTCACTAGAACTCTAGCTAAAATGGCAGTGACCACACCACCTATCGAAGACCAGGTAGATGGGAATCTGCAGAGTGCCAGTTCTTCAGTAGTCAGTACCTCTCTGCAGGAGGGATACTCTTCTGAGACGTCAGCCAACAGGTGAGAAACATGTACAGTAACACTTTAAAGTAACATGTTGCAATTTATTATATGGTATACTTTTACTTATAGCCCTGAAGAGTTTGAACAACGTATAGACTCCGAGCTGGCAGCGTTGGACTCGTTGCCAACCGACGAAAATAGACTCCACCGTTTCAGCGTGATTTCCGAGGACCTGCTCGAGTTCTCCGATAACCTGATAGACTGCGACAGTACGGAATACCGGCAGAATATGCAGGAGAGCGATATACAGTCGACAAACTCGTCAACAGAGCGTCTACAGAGGAAGATCAGCGTGGAGTCCAAGTCTTCTTTACGAAGTTCAACCTCCAAGTGTGTCCAAGAGAGCGAGATCGCTGAGACCAGCAGGAACTCCACTCCGACAGGATCGAACAAGTCCGAAGACTCGGCTGCCTCTAGCAAACTCCAACCCAGCAGAACCATCTTGGTCCAGAGGCCTTCCAACTATATGATGCACTTCGACTACGGGGAATACTCTGAGAATAATTCGCAGAAGGGTAAACAGCAATCTGAAGGCATGCTGCCTAAAGAGTCTTCCACTGTTGAGCCAACCGACAGTTTCCATTCTGCGTCCAAGATATATAACAGGTTGTCCAGCGAGAAGGTACCGGGTCGTACCAGCGATCTCTCTCGTCAGTCAGATCATGTTAGCTGCGAGGACTTGTTAGAGTTCGCTTGCGATGGTCCTAATGCGAGGAGAACACGTGGTCCGCGGAACGGAGAGCAATCGGACGAAGTCAGGATCATGATGAAAGTGTTGCACGAACAATCCACGCCGGAGTCCTGCATTGCAGCCTTGAACGTCACCGACTGGGACGTCTTGGCGGCAATAAAGCTGGAGCGGCTCCAAGGTCTGTTGAAGAAAGAGAACAACTTTGTTGGCCTTGAAGATTGCAAGGTGATGCTGAATCAGTGTGGCGGCGACGTTGTCAAAGCAGCCGCGTTGTTGCGTAACACGGATGATACTGCAGCAGTTTAGTTGGTGAATTGATAACAGCCTGGCTCAATTTTTGGGAGGTCATCTGGGATTGCATCATCGATTCAGAAAGGATGGTGTAGTCGCTGGGAGTCGACTTGTTCTCGGGGGGTAAATAGTATTTTTCAGGATGCCTTTTCCTTTTCTTCTTCATCATCTTCTTTCTCTTCTTCTTTTTGTATCGTTCTCGTTTATCCCGTGTGTAGAAAACTAGATCAATTGAAACGATGTTTATTTATTATTTTAGGGTTACTAGAACGAGAATAGTATTTGGACGTATTATTTCTACTGCCTAAAGATGAGAGATAGGCACTTCGATTTAGCGCGATTGAGCTTCTCCTACCAACGATATAGACTGCAGGCTGGTACGGGGACAGAACATCCGTGGTTTGATCAGAATGTACTGTTGACAAAGCGGAAAGGAAGTAGTAATTTCAATACTCAGAAAAGATCAATCCAAATTCATTGTCTAGAACGTTGTCGTTTGAAACACTAAGTATGAAGTTTCATGAAACAATGTAGTCACGGCTTCAATTTTTGGAGCAACGTTAAAGGAGATCATTATGTGTTCTGTTTCCTGCAGACCAATCTGCGTAGAGCAATAGCTTCTTTTATAAGTTTAATTTAACTATTAGTGAAGGAAATTAAATTATTTTTTTCTTCTTTTGTATGTTTGTAATATGATTGACCCTTTCTTCTCAATATCTTACGTTGAAAATTTGTGGAATATTGTTAGTACAAAAAAAAAGTTGCAATTTCATTTACAGTAGGAGTTCCCTGGTGAAACGACTTTTCAAAAGATCGACTCAATAGTGAAATCTTATTATTGTTTTGGATTCTTTTTTCCACTGACGGGGAAACCTATGGATTCTTTGACTCAACAATCCCTTCAGTCAGAATCATCAGTGTCACAGCTATAGTTTTCTAAGTTCATTATCATTACTATATTAAACTAAAAGCAATTCTGCAGCTTCTATATACATGATTAATAATATTTCATACAAATTGTGTGATTGCGGATATATCTGATTGTTTTAGGGTCTGTTAATAATTTGCACAATACATATATAGCTAATCGGATGATTGTGGAATTAGGGGTTAAACCAATATATTCTGCATTTTGAGTTAGGCGAAGCGTTAAGAGAAAAGTATTACAATGCCTACGACTAAGCAGCGAATAATCCTTGTATCGTGTGATACAGTGATCAGAGACTCTCTATATTTTGCGTTTCGTTTTACCGCCGCTCATGATTACTTTCACAGAATCATGTATTTTATAAGGTGACAATCATTTTTGTAGTGAATCATCGTGTCAACTAATTCCTAAATCATACTGCGTGTTCGGATTTTCGCCGTTTTTGAAAGCGAAGAAAAACAAACGCTAATACGTTTTGCTGATAGAAGCAAGTTTCGTTTCCAAAGATAATATTCTCACGGTATTATTGTTTGGTACCATACGCACTATACAGCTTAGTGTTCACATTGTATTGATTACAACACACAGTTTTCTTTGCAACTAGAGACTCCTCTCTATTAACCGTGAGTTAATCCGATAGATAAATAGTAGATTTAGGCGTGTCGTATATGCGTAATCATTGCTGAGGATTAGCACAAATACAAGAGGTAGAGGTATCAGCTTGTTACGTATTCTGTTTGGGGGTAAACAGTCTTTGGTAACGTGGAACATGTTTTACCCGGTAGTAGGGTACAGTAAGCACCAAATATTGCGGATGAAATCTCTGTGTTCAGTAAGATTGATTTTTATATTTGCTCTCGGTAGCAGACCTAGGCATAGATCGATTTGAAATGCACAATGAAGAGCAATGTGCATTTCAAATACAGTGCTATTTATGCTTCTAAAGTAACTATTAGACAAACTCACCTCATTTCACACAAATAAGTAGCAAATTATTGAAAAGCTATTCTTTTATAAAAATGAATTTTCTTGAACAAGATAATAAGTACTGAAAACATTTGGATTATAGTAGGCTTTATACAACTTTTATGTATATGGAAATAATTACAAAAAGGGATTTAGTTCATTGAATAACATAAATATGATTTTAAGAATCACTTTCGCAGACATAAATGTTAACTATTTTTATTTATATCCAGGTCTGCTTGGCAAGGAGCTTTTGCGTTATTATTTGTTAAGTTGTAAGAGGTATAATGACTGAAAGGATGAGAACAATATGCGAGAAAGAAAGTAACTTACTGATGTTAGTCGCGTTCGAACTGAATTATAATGTCTGGTGTCCTTAGCCGGGAGGTTTAAATTGTTATTAATTCTTTACTTCTATTGTAATCTTCCAGTAGGTGTCACAGATAGAAGAAACCTTTTTGTTTTTTGCATCATCGATTACTAATGCATGATAGAATTCACGCAATCCGAAGGTATCATTTTTATAATATTTGACTATAAGTTTCGAAGCACACCTTTGGATTGCTTGAGTTTTAAGATACTGTAGCGAATACGAAAAATGTTGATCAAACGTCGAGAAACATATCCGGAATCGAACGTATTTTGATTGGGGTGGAACTGTTAGACTTGATTGAGAAATATTTTTTCATGTACCCTCTTTTTTACCAGAGACATTTTCTATGACATACTTCCTTTAAACAATTACCCCAGTTAAAGCGGATTCGATGAGTAAAGTTGCTCACTAGTATGTTTGTGAACGTTTTATTAGAGAAAAAGAAAAAATGAAACAAAAGAATGAACTGAGAGAAAAGTAATTTGATTAAGATTTGCGAGATCCTTGCCATACTTTCGCATTCTTCAACGAAGCCAAATAGGAGCTTACGAGAAACGCCTAAGTAATGTTACTTAGCCCTTTTTTGTAATGACATTGAACAATAAGGTTTTCGGTTCCTGAATAAAAATATGCATGCATGTATTTTCTTATGCTGAATCCGCCTTTTTTCTTGTCACGTATTCGCTTCAGGGGATTCAACAATTCGATGGTTTCCAAATGTCTTTTAATTAGAAGTAATCCTTCGAACTAAGTTTGGAGAGTGGAACTCATCTAAAACATTAATTGCTTAGTTGCTTAGAGCAGTATACAGTACTACTATTATTATTATTATTATTATTATTATTATTATTATTATTATTATTATTATTATTATTATTATTATTATTATTATTATTATTATTATTATTATTATTATTATTATTATTATTATTATTATTATTATTATTATTATTATTATTATTATTATTATTATTATTATTATTATTATTATTATTATTATTATTATTATTATTATTATTATTATTATTATTATTATTATTATTATTATTATTATTATTATTATTATTATTATTATTATTATTATTATTATTATTATTATTATTATTATTATTATTATTATTATTATTATTATTATTATTATTATTATTATTATTATTATTATTATTATTATTATTATTATTATTATTATTATTATTATTATTATTATTATTATTATTATTATTATTATTATTATTATTATTATTATTATTATTATTATTATTATTATTATTATTATTATTATTATTATTATTATTATTATTATTATTATTATTATTATTATTATTATTATTATTATTATTATTATTATTATTATTATTATTATTATTATTATTATTATTATTATTATTATTATTATTATTATTATTATTATTATTATTATTATTATTATTATTATTATTATTATTATTATTATTATTATTATTATTATTATTATTATTATTATTATTATTATTATTATTATTATTATTATTATTATTATTATTATTATTATTATTATTATTATTATTATTATTATTATTATTATTATTATTATTATTATTATTATTATTATTATTATTATTATTATTATTATTATTATTATTATTATTATTATTATTATTATTATTATTATTATTATTATTATTATTATTATTATTATTATTATTATTATTATTATTATTATTATTATTATTATTATTATTATTATTATTATTATTATTATTATTATTATTATTATTATTATTATTATTATTATTATTATTATTATTATTATTATTATTATTATTATTATTATTATTATTATTATTATTATTATTATTATTATTATTATTATTATTATTATTATTATTATTATTATTATTATTATTATTATTATTATTATTATTATTATTANGTGCCTAAATAATATAAATAACTGGAGTTTTCAAAGAACCAGGCACATCTGAAACTTATGATAAGTTATTCAAATAGATACCCAATCTATACTGGAGCAGACACTTGGCAGGAAGGAGGTTCAGAAACATAGTAGTGTTCAGTATAAAGAGATCAATTATTTTTGTGCAGGAACCACTAAGAAATTTAACTAGAATCATCTCATTGTAAGCGAATATTTGTAAGAGTATGCACCTCAATAAGTTTACGATAAAGTACTTACTTAATTCCCTGAAAGTGGGGAATCGAAGGGATTCTTATAGGGAATCCCCTGACGAAGCTGAGCTTTCGGTGAATCTTACACGAGCGCGTACGATCGTTTTACGTAAGATCATTGCGCTCAATAGCGTGGTAACGTCTTAACGAGTGCGCTTCCTTTCAAGGATTGTCATGTACGACTTCGGGAATAATAATCGAAATTAAGCTTGAACCTGTAACACGTGGAACGACTGCTCTCGCGGAGTAAGTGTAAGTTCATCCTATAACCCGTTTTTTTTATACGCGATTTTACTACTGATAAGGCAACACGTTTATACATCTCTACATGATTATCATGCGCGGAAAACACGAAGATGTTTTATATCGACTGTATTTACGATAATATATACACCATTCATAAATCAACAAACCTGTTGTAGTTTCGATCATTCGTGTCAGGGCTGTCCCTGCCTTTTCTTGTTTCCGATTGCTTGTTCTATCCTGATTCGTAGAAATAGCATTCATTTTTTACCCAAACAACTGAGTTTCATACGTAGCATTTAATAGTTCCAGAAGTGGTTCAGTTCGAAGAGGTTAGATCCAAAGCACGTCTTTTGATCCTAAAAGCAACATTAAACTACACATCGAGGTGTATCATGCTTTCCATTCTACATATACGTAAGCAAACGATTTTTGATCATTTAAAACTTAAATTAGAACGTTCGAAAATGTATCTTCCTATAAATTACAAGAAATCATTCTGTATTAGTAGTGGTATATAATAATTAGTTGGTGAAAGGTGATCCAGAAACACCGTATCTGTGGAAATAAAGATATTTTCAATCAGTTTTTCTTTGGCAATTCGAATTTCTTTACATTCAAGCTTTTGTAACTTAAGTTAGTTCTTCACAAGCTGTTTCATCAATTTTATTACACCGATTAATCCAATACATTGTTGTTTACAATAATTTTTTGAAATCTCCCGCGGTTTTGCTCTGTACCAACTTATTCATTGTTTAAACGAATAGGCTGTTAACGAACCGTTACTTATTGAAACGCATTAAATTATATACGATCTATCGAAACAATTAAATCTATATCTTTCATCAAAGTACAGCGACCGTTTGAAATCTCCCGCGATTTAGTTCTGCACCACCCTCTACCATTGTTTGAAAGTTTATTGGCTATTGATACCTAACAGATCGTTAATGAACCGTTAATTAATGCAGTACGTTAAATTTTGTATGATCTATTGAAACATTTGAATTTATAATTTTTATTAGAGTATAATTTCGATCCGAAATTACTAAATCAGCGTTTTTGATGTATACCAACCTATATCACAGTTTGAAAGTTTATTGGCTATTGATACCCAACAGATCGTTAATGAACCGTTAATTAATGCAGTACGTTAAATTCTGTATGATCTATTGAAACATTTGAATTTATAATTTTCATTAGAGTATAATTTCGTTCCGAAATTACCAACCTATCACAGTTTGAAAGTTCATTGACAATTGATAGTGAGTAGATTTTTCTTCTCTTGCAAAGTAAATGCGACGTTCTGTGTTGCTTTTGATAGAACAATTGCGACGTAGGCGCTCTATGTTGGTAAATGAACACATACTTTATGGCCGTTGAACGTTCACGTGCGCTCGAATTTTTTACGCGGGAGTAGCGAACGGCTAGGTAGCCAGGTAGCCAAGTAACCAGTGCGCGTTACTTGCGACAGTCCCTGTATCCAGTTTGCTTTAATCGACGGTCGGATCAACATCGCTGCGAGCTTTTATTCGGATCAATTTTCTAAACAGCCGGATAATACGTTTCAGACTGTAGCCTACACGAGAAAATGACATGATCGGTATCGGTTACCCGGACTAGAAATTCGAACATGTATGTAACAATTTTCAATTAGACTTTACATAATTCCATAATCGTGTGAATTTGTATTTATCGTCACCCTTACCGCGATTATGTCGATAATTACGAATTGATCGCGCGGTTATCGCGAGTATCGATTGATTCCGACAACTATCGAGTTATTTCGATTCTCACAGGCTAGAGCAAGACAGACTTAGGTTCGGTTGCGAATGGATGAGACGTTTGAAATTTCGGAATTACTTGTTCTGTGTATATTTAGTGACGTGATGTGTACAATTGAACAAAAATCTGCCGAAATATTGTGGGAATGATGCTTGTATCGAGAAGGCACATTTTGGTGGAAGTCAACCTGCTGCTGTCGATATTGGAACATCGAATCAAGGTAGGCTACCAAAATATAATCTTTTCACCTGGTATGCGCACTTCTTTCAAACGCAAACGATGGTCTTCTTGTATATAAGAGAGTAAATCAGGATATTTTCTTACAAGACGCTTCGATGCATAATGGAAAATTGTAGGAACGGTTTTCTTTTTTTCGTATGTAGTCATACTGCATGAAATATATGAAGCGAATAATTGCGGGTTAAATCTTCGGTAATTAATCAGAATTAACTGTATCTTATAAAATCGGTATTTCAAGAATTGAATTTTAAGATTTGGAAGGTAGTAATTTTGGGGGAGTGCAAGGTACATAATATTGTTATGTGTTAATGTTAATAATATTAATATAATAACTAAAATAATATATATATAATATAATAATAATATATATTATATAAATAATAAATTTAATATAATAACACATATAATATTATATGTGTTATTATTAAATTAAGCGCAATATAGTATTAACGTTAGCATTGGTATTTCGAATGACGCAGTTAACCATCCGAGGACGGATTTCGTAGAAGCCGGAGCTGGGTCGTTTCTGACCCACGACAAAATCTCGCATAAAGAAATTTTTGTCGGCATGAGAACCAGGTCTCAAGTGACCTACGTTCGTCCTGCGAGGGTTAATTTGTATAATACGAGCATACAATAAACACAAAATGGCACGATTGCTAGTAAAAATTGAATTATATAATTAAATAACAATTATAATGCCGTATTATAAAATTATAAGAATCATCATAACGACAGCCCCAGACTGCAGCGAATAAAATATATAGCACAAATATATAGCACGTATAAACAAATATATAGAACCGTATAAACAATATCTATGACATCTATAGAATAACGAGGACAACATGTAATAACATCTGCTATACCAACATTAATAATGTGCATGATATCTGTCGAACAACAATTATAACACGCATGACGCGTTCCGTGTGCCATGAACAATATCCACAATGCCCTTTATATAGCGTTAATAACATGGTTAATATGTTTCAGGTGACATTATAATATGTACAACGACTTTCAAATAACATTAACCCTTTGCGGACGAGGATTTTTAAAGCTACTAAGAATATTGCTACTCAGAAATTTGGATTATGTATATATGAAAAACTTGAATAGGAAAAAAATAAACAATTAAAAAAAAAACAATCTTGTTGTATTATGAACATAATTACGTACATGATTTTGTTATATACACAATTATGTACATGATTATGTTATGCGCATGATTTTGTTATGCACATAATTATGTACATGATTTTGTTATATGTATATATATATATATGTACATATACATTCGTCCTCAAAGAATTAAATAACACACATAACGTATGTCGAATAACACAAATCCCATTTATCGAACAACAACATTTTTTGGAAATAGCTTCAGGTATTATATAACATGCATAAAACTGTCCAGAACGCATAACACTTTCGACAATGAATTCTGTTGATTCGTAACGTATACAACACGCAACGAATAACATTTTTTTCGTAACGACTTTCTTGCAAATGTTTCACGGCATTCGAAACACGCTACGAAACATTTATAATATAAATATAATAATAATAATAATATGAATAACACTTTTTGCAATCGATTCTCCGGTAATTCATAGCATGCACGAACGAATTACAACGAATGCCGCTATTAACACGAGCAACGCTGCTTGAACCGTGATCACCTTGCGACGCGGATAGAGCAGCGATTTCTAATTGTTCGCGCGAGCGCGTTTTTAAACGGTTATTTTTTCGAACGATCGGCGACAAATTGGGTCGCATATCCAATTCACATTATTCACGGCAAGAGCGCGCCGCGGAAGGAACGTTCAAAGAGATGCAGTTTATCGTTGCATAGCAGGAGAATGTAGCACGTTGCACCGCGGCGCAAGGTAATAGGAATGTCAGCTCTATATTACAACGTCCGCGGTGCATTGTGTCGGTAGGAATGCGTTTCGTACCGGGGCCTATACGCTTTCTAAGTATTTTCAAATTCCGTGTATATTTCTCTCCTTTATCATGTAACCAGTTGCAAAACGCGTCGGCCAACGGCGCATCGTGAATCATTTCGCCGTCGGTCGTTACCTGTTCCTCGAGCTCGTTAAGAACCGAACCGCCACTGCTCGCGCCGAGGAGACATTCTCTCTAATTACCTTTGAAAATAACGATATTTAGGAGTTTATTGCCAGACGATCGCGGACCGTAATCGTCCCACAGTTTCTGCAACGTGCCGGCGAACTTTCCAAGTTTGCAAATAAAATGTTTCCATCGATTCCGTCGTTTCGAAACGTTCTCGCGAACATGTGCTATTCTCCAATAGAAAATTTCTGCCGCAGAATCATTTTATTCTTTCGCAAGAATTGCACGCGAAAAATTCTATTCGAGAGTTGAGCGTAGCACGGTAATGTCTCCCTAACTGACGCTCGGATTGTGCACAAAAATGGACAATTTGAGAAGAGGAGATACGATTATAACTATAAAAATGAATCGCAAGGATCGAATAATCGTGTCTCCTCTTCCTAAATTGTCCATTCTTGTGGACGGTCTGAGCGTCGATTAGAGAAACATCACTGTATTCTAACAAATATTGCAAGAAAAGTTCCTAAGAAAAATACCTAATCCTAATCCTGACCTAACTCTAATTCTAAAAAATATGAGGGAGAAAACCTTAGAGCATACATATTTTATATATGCTCCAAGAAGAAAACATTGCAAGAAAGATCCCTAAGAAAAATACCTAACCCTGATCCTAACCCTAACTTAACCCTGATTTAAAAAATAATATAAAGGAGAGAATTTTAAAGCATACATATTCATATATATATATATATATATCTAATTCATTCTATATTCATATATCTAAGAACAAAATATTGCAAGAAAAATTTCTAAAAAAAAATTCGTAACCCTAAACCTGATCTAACCCTGACCCTAAAAAATATAAAAGAAAAAATTCTAGACCATACATACATAATACATACATACAAACATACATACATATATGTATATGCTCTGAGGAATAACCATCTCAAGAAAAATCCCTAGGCGGGCGTACGCGCGCTTGGCAACGGTCGCGCGGGAATTTCGAAATTCGTGGTGGGCGGATAAGGACGAGATAAGGGAAACGGTACGCGCCTCACAGTCGGATCGGGATTACGCTAATATTTCTACGTCGGCGAGCGCGCATCCTCGGTCGCCACGCCGATGGATGAGGCGATAAACCCCTAGCTGGTCACGAAAGCGAATTGCGTTTCATTAACATGAAAGTGAGCTGCGGATGCTACACACGATAATCATCGGGATCGACCAATTATGCAAATGCCCGGGGGAAAAGTTGGATTATAACGTCGACACACCTTCTAGATATTGTTGCATCCCCCTTTGATCTCGAACGACTCATTAGCGTCCCGCGTCCCAGTGTGATCCCTTAACCTTTTAGGTACGGCTGAATTCTGCGCGAGGCTATTTCTCTGGACGGCAGAGTCTGATATGTAGTGTACAGAGTCTGATACTGTATACACAGGATGTCCCAAAAATGTCTCGCATTCCGAAAGTGGCGGGTTCCTCGGGCCATTTGAAGCAACTTTTTCCTTTACAAAAATGTTCTCCGAGGCACCGTTAACGAGTTATTAACGAAAAACGGAGACCAATGAGAGGCGAGCTCGGCTGGCGCGAGGCGATCGCGCCAATGAGCGGAACTGGGCTTCGTGCGCTGGTCGGCTGGGCGGCCTCGCGTCAGCCGTACTCGATTCTCATTGGTCACTGTTTTTCTTTGATAACTCGTTAACGGTGCCTCGGAGAACATTTTTGTAAAGAAAGAAGTTGCTTCAAATGATCCGAGGAACCCGCCATTTCCGGATTGCGAGACATTTTTGGGACACCCTGTAGACTGTTGTAAATCGATGTGAAGACAAAAGAAGTGTGAAACAATGCATATGAAGACGATTATTTGGTTCAAACGATGAGCGAGTGAGCTACTACAGCAAGCCACTATAGTGGCGCGTCGTCCAGAGAGATGACATCCGCGAAAGTCACTATAGTGGCGCGTCGTGCCTAAAAGATCGCTTCTCTAGTACGCAGATACGGTACTGCCGTTGCTTCCCTGATCTCTTAATCAAGCACTTCGTTTAGTTTCGATAATTCGAGGTTGTCGAGGCTTGTCATATCAGAAATGAAATATGGGAAACTGGCAACTGGAAATTGAATAAAAGTGACCGGGAATGAAAACGAATGAAACGAAAATCGAGATAACTTGGGACCAATTGAAAGCATAAATAACTAGGAAGGAACTGAGAATAAAAGTATATAGGGACAAATTGAAAACATAAATGACTAGGAATGGAACGAGAATCGAAATAACTAGGGACAAAATGAAGATATAGACAACACTATGAAGGATACGAAAATCGAAGTTACTAGGGACAAATTCAGAGTATAAATGACTAGGAATGGAATGAGGATTGAAATAACTAGGGACAAAACGAAGATATAAACAACTATGAAGGAAATGAAAATCGAAATAACTAGAAATAATTGAAAGTATAAGTAACTAGGAAGGAAGTGAGAATAAAAGTATCTAGGGACAAATTGAAAATATAAATGACTAGGAATAGAATGAAAATTGAAATAACTAGGGACAAATTGAAAATAAAAATAACTAGGAACAAAATGGGAGTAGAAACAATTGGTGATAATTTAAAAATAAAAATTACTAGAGACAAAGTGAAAATAAAATAACTAAGGACAAAGTAGACTAACCGGAAACAGAATAAAAAATAGCACGACTATGGTTAGATTGCTAGTAAAATAACTAATAATAATTTTAAGATAATACTTCTAGGGAGAAATTTAAAGTAGATCAACTAGAAACAAGGTGGAAATGATTTAATAAAAGAGAGATTTAATGTGA